GCTGTCCACGCCGCCGCGGCCTGTGTCCATTCGAGACAGAAGGCCGCCTGCCCAACAGCGGCCGCTGTTCGTTTGGGACAACCTTTGTTGTTGGGCATTGTACCCATTCTTTCCGTGCCCAGTTCGGGCGTCCAAATTCACCAGCTGGCTCCCCGTCCGCAGGAAGGGGGGGAGCAGCCTATGACCTCGCGGTTGCGCCTTCGGGGGGCCTGGGATCTGTACGCTGCAGTCTTCTCTTGTCTCCGGCGCGGGCTCCATTCGGATACGACGTGAATTCGACGCGGATTCGGAGTTTGACATGTGCCCCACGTGACTTCGACGCGGATAGCGGCGCCATGGGACAGACAAACGACCCCCGAATGTGAGACTGGACGACTTGACGCGTTCCCGAGCGAGTCTTAGTTGTAGCAAGACGAGGGCGGCGGACGCATCGTCCGAGGCTCCTATCCAGACCGCGCTCGCTTCAGGTGGCAGTCCCTTCCGAGGCCTCCATGGGGTGCTGGGAGGTGACTGCCGCATGTATCTGCCATCGCGCTGGAAGCCGCTCCCGGACGCCAACTTTCGAGGGACATCTTTGGCGAGATTTTTTTCGTGCCGCCAGATGTCTGGGATGCAGGAGGGGGGTGGTAAGGCTTCGGGGCTGCTCACGGAGAGCAACCCCCCTGGGCAGTCCCAGCTGGCCTCAGCAGGCCCCCCGAGTAGTCCGGGGGGGGGGGGGTGCGGAGCGCCCCGGGGGCGCCGCCAGAGGCGGCGCCGGGGTGTTGAGCTCCCCCCGGACTGCTCGGGGGGCCTGCTGAGGCCAGCTGGGACTGCCCAGGGGGGTGAGTCCAGCGGGGGCTCCCCGGGGGGGGGGGCTCTGTGCGCGAGCCGAAGCCTCCCCGGAGAGAGGGGCGCCCGGCGTGCGGGTCGGCTTCTCCCCCCGCGTCCTTGTCCGCCCGTGCCCGCGCCGATGCGCGGGCACGGGCCTGCTGGCACCTCGCGCGTGTCGCCTCCAGGGTCTGCCGAAGAAATGATGGGCCGACTTTCCACCACCCATACCACATGTCGGGCGGGGGAGGAGGGAGGATGGGGATGCCCTCCTCCCGCGCCTCCTGCTCCTCCTGCTCCTCCTGCTCCTCCTGCTCCTCCTGCTCCTCCTGCTCCTCCTGCTCCTCCTGCTCCTCCTCCTCCTCCTCCTCCTCCTCCTCCTCCTCCTCCTCCTCCTCCTCCTCCTCCTCCCTCTTCTACCTATGGTAGCGGTGGTGGAACATCGGCCCAGCAAGAAAAGGTGGGCGGGCCTTCCCGCCATGGCCGTGCGCCTCTCGGCCTCGCGCAGAACATCGACCCCCCATGGGCTCAGGGGACAGGCAGAATAGTGGTGGGAAGGAGGAGCAGGAGGTGGGGCGGGAGATGCAGGATGATGATGAGGACGAGGACGAGGACGAGGAGGAGGAGGAGGAGGAGGAGGAGGAGGAGGAGGAGGAGGAGGGTGCTCAGGCGGGATATGGAGGGTGGACAGGAGATGGGAAGAGGGAGCAGTCTCCCTCCTCTTCCTCCCCATCCTCCTTCCTGTTTCCCGCGTCCAGTCTTCTACGTTCTTTATCCACCTCTCGCCTTCCTCCTATTTACGGTGTGCTTGCGTGATTTCCCAAACTCGACATGTTTCCTCACTCCCTCTCATTATTTCTCTTGCGCTTTTTTCCCTGTCTCCTTCTTGCTCCTTCCCCCTCCTTCCTTTCCTCTCGCTCCTTGCTGTCCCCCTTTTCGCCCTCCCTCCATCCCTCCTCCCTTCCTCTCTTCCGTCTTCCTCTGACCCTTCCCGCTTCCCCTCCCCCTTCCACTCGCCCCTCCACGCCCGGTGACGGAGCAGAGTCCCAGAAGGCAGCGCCATTCCCCGTCACCCGACGAGTACACGACGGGAGCACGCCGAATCAGCTGAGCCTTCGCCCCCCTCCCCCCCCGTTCCCTCCCCTCCCGCTCGCCCTACCCCCGTCGGTGTCGCCGTCGTGCTCCTCGTCCCCCCCCCCCCCCTGTTCCTCCTCTTCGTCGTGGCCGGGCCCGTGCTGCTCAGGCCCCTCGGGACGAGGGGGCGCGCGCGCGGCAAATGGCGGCGCACGCGGAGCCGGGCGGCGGCGCGCCCGTGGAGAGCGCCCTGCTGAGGAACCAGGCGGCCCTCGTGACCGTGCAGGACTGCCTGGACCTCGTCGCGGCGGCCGCGCTGCAGTGCTGCTGCCGCCTGGCCGCAGAGTTCCTGGACGACCCCGTCCCGTACGAGGCGCGGCGCAGAGGAAGACCAGATGCCCGCCTCTCCGACGACCTGTTTTTTTTTTCAGCTCGGGTGTTTTCCCTCGGTTTCCGGGCCCCGGGACGATCAGAGATGGATCCTGGGCGGAAAATGACCGCTGGGGACGCGGTCGGGACCTCTGGGGCCGCGAATTGAACAAATCACATTGGCGGATGTCAAGGCTTCGGAGGAGGAGTAGATACCGATGCCGCTGCTCGTCTCGGAGAGCCCTCGTCGGCACGGCTGGAATCTTCAGAAACTTCTGGTCAGAACGCCACTCGGGAGAGGTCTGGGGTATCGGTACTTTTTGACCTCCCAGATGCGCAGAGGGCATCCGTGCACCGCCACCGTGCTGCGGTAGGTTCGTGTCTTGGCGGGTGGCGCGCGTTTGGTTCTGACACCGCGTGGGTCGTTCCGCCTTGAGTGATATGATAAGCGCACGCTGGCGCTAACGCGTGTTCTGAGGATCCTTGCTGGTAGTGCGTGGATGCCGCCTGCGCAGGCGAGCGCCAGGCGCCGGGCGCTCATCGGGAGCATCCCGCCCTACGTGGCGTTCGCGCTGCGGACGGAGGACGAGGCTCAGTATCGTTCATCCAATCCCCTATCACCATCGGGCCCTGTTATTTTCGCCCCCCTCATCACACCGCCCCAGTTGGCGATATACCCCTCGAGGCTCGAATGGAACAGGCTACATCCTCATCCAGGGGGGGACATCGGCCAGTGGTGTGCCCCCCACCCCTGGGTGCTTATTTCAAGCCACACACTTCGGAGTAGCCGAATAGGGATGTAGCTTTCCTCTTCGGTCATATTCGGTCCATCCTCAACCACTGTCGATGGCCTGCCGCGCTCGAAGAGCCTCTGCATGGGCGTCCAAGGCCCTTGTATCCTTATCGCGCATCTTTGCTAACAGTTACGACTGCACCCCTCGAGACCCGAGGGGAAGAGCCTACGTCCCCAACCAGGCGGGCACATCGGCCGGCGGGGCCCAGGCCACGCCAGGAGGAGGAGGAGGAGGCGGCCAGGAGGAGGAGGAGGAGGAGGAGGAGGAGCAGGAGGAGGAGGAGGAGGAGGAGGAGGTGGAGGAGGCGGAGGCGGAGGCGGAGGCGGAGGCGGAGGCGGAGGCGGAGGCGGAGGCGGAGGAGGCCCCAGGGCCCGGCGCGGAGGGCGGCGCCGAGAGCGCCCCCTGACGCCGGCTGGCTGCGGCCTCCCGCGCCCCGGAGAGCAGGCCGGCAGACGGGCCGCGCGAGTGGGGCCGGGGATCGGCGAAACGACGCTCACAGGCGCGGGTCATCGCGCTCCACCCCGCCGCGGTGCGCGCGCCCGAGGTGCCCGCCGAGGTGCTGGAGTTGGCCGCGCGGGCGGGGCTGCCTCCTGGCGGCCCGCCCGCCGGCGCCCCGCCGGGCGCCCTCGGCGCGCGGCGGGCGCTGGGCGCGACCCGCCAGGCGAGGCTGACGTGGTATCCTGCCGCGCTGTCGCGCGAGCCCGCCGGGCCCCCTCGGACGGGGCCAGGACGAGGAGAGATGCGTTCCAGAAAGCTCTGAGAAGGCCACGGCGCCCGAGAGATCCTCCAGAGCCGCAGGATCTCAGAGAGAGATTCTCGATGTATCCTCGCCCTATGTTATCCTCGTCTTGGCTTCGTCTTACCCCGCGGCCAGGACTCCAGGTGGCCCAGCACGGTTCCGGCCAGCAGACAGGGGGGGTAGGGGCCCCCTCTTCGCTGCGGCTGGGCGCGGCTTGAAAAGCTTGTCCGTTTCGATTCTGGGAGGGGTCAGGGAATCAGTATGAGCGAAGTTGCCTTCATCATGCCCTCTTCTGAACAGATTTTCTCTGGGCTTATCCAGCTTAGACCCCCCTGCCGCCTCCAAGATGGGACACATTTTTGGATCAAACTCCAGGGAGGTCAGGCTCAGCATCGGTGCTGGTATATCCATTGTCGAAGACTGGCCTAATCTGGCAGACTCCCGTTAGGTTCCGTTTATTCCTGCGTAATCTGGCTTGCAACATTTGGATGGGCCTTGGTCCATCAAGTGAGCGTATCTTGGGCTCGGTACGTGAGGGGGCCCTGATGATTTGCTTCGCAAGAGGACGGTCTGAAGAACAGGGCCCGACGCACACGCACGCACGCGCGCGCATCATGGGCTGCAGACGCGCTGGTGGACTTCTCTCGGGGCATCGCCGCCTACGAGGCCAAGGCGCTGGAGAAGTCCGAGCGCTTTCTGAGCGCTGCGCTGGAGCTGGCCCCCGAGGACGACGTCATCCTGTGCAGGCTCGCGGGGGCCCCCAAACGGTGCGGCGACCACGCCGTGTGGTGAGGCAGGGCGGACTCGAGGTGGCCGCGCGGTTCTTTGGGACCCGGGTCGTTCTCCGAGGATGCCTCGGGCCACCAGGGCCTCCAGGGTCCTCGGGCCGTGCGGCGACGCACCGTGCGGCGGGGTCCCTTGGGATGCCGAGGCCCCAGGGCGCCCCGTCGCCCCATCACCGCTGCTCGGACCCCCCCCACGGGAGGCTCGCGGACACGTGCTACGCCAGGTGCGCCGCGGCGAGCGGCGAGGCCAGGGAGGCCCTCGAGGCTCGCACGCTGGAGCTCTACCGCGAGGCCGTGCGCGTGAACCCGGCCTCGTCGCTCGGGCACAACGGCCTCTCCCTGTTCCAGGACGGGGACGACGCCAAGAGGCGCTACCTCCTGCGCGCAGTGGCGCTGGACCGCGGGAACGCCTACGCGCTGACGAACCTGGCGATGCGCCTGCTGGACGACGACGAGGGGATGGGCGAGGTCTGCCTGGCGCTCCTCCGAGGGGCAACGTCAGGGGGATGGGCTCAGCGTGCGGGGGGGACTGTCGAGCTTGAGCCGGCGGCACATCGTGGGGAACCTGATAGCCCACCCCGCCACGTGCAGTGCCGTTGACGTGGGCCCATCGCCGATCTGTCGGCGGCGTATCGCCGATTCCAGCTCGATGTTCCCCCCCCACCCCCCGCCCCCCCTGAGCCTCTCCTCCTCCCTAACGTTGCCGCTCATCCTCAAGCGCGCGCTGGCGATCAACCCGAACCTGTTCTACGCGCGGCCCACGATCGCTGGCCTCCACCTGCAGTTTGCCCGGACCGCCCGCACCAGGCGCGAGGTGGCTGCCCAGCTCCGCGAGGCGCGCGCGGTCCTGGCCGAGCACGTCGGCAGGCGCCCCGAGGACACGGACTCGGGCAGGCTGCTGGACCAGCTCGTCAAGGCGCTCGAGATGTTCGACGACCAGACTGCCCAGGCGCCCTAGGGCTGGCCCGACACGCCCCCCGGGGGCTCCTGCTGGAGCCCGACCGGCGTCCGAGCCCGCTCGCCCGCCGAGCGGGCTCGGGATCTCGAGGCCGTGCGGCCGAGGCGAGCGGCACGGCCCCCACCGCCCCGACGGAGCCAGGCGTCTGCGCGAGCGGACACGAGCAGGGGCCGTGAGCGCCGGGCGGTCCCAGAGGGGAAGGTTGGACCAGACTCCTTGCCAAGTTGCCTGGCCTCCCCGCGAGACGCGGAAGGCCCGCGCAGCCCGCGAGGCGCCGAGAAAAGGTGTACACACACATATTCCTCTTCTTGTATTTTTGCAAGCCCGGTTGGGGGGAAAACCCATCCCCCCCCCAAAACCGGGCTCCCGGGATCTGGGGCTTTGGGGCCCTCCGGACGGGCCTCGAAGCGGCCCCCCGGGCCTCGCAGGGCGTCCTGCCAGGCCTTCCCAGCACACCTAGGGCGATCGGGGGGGGTCATCGGAGACGTCCCAGAGACCCCGAAGACAGCACAAGAGCGCTCCAAGAGTGACCGTCGTGACCTCAAGACGACCCCCAAGAAGCCATCATATCCCCAAAGATCGTCCTGAAACGTCCCAATAGGCCTCCAAGAGCACTCCCAAGAAGGCCCCAAGAGGCAGAAATCATTGATTTTCTATTGGTTTTTGGTACATGTTGGGTTTATCCTTTTTTGGGCTTCCCGACGCTCCAAGACGGCGGTCTTCTGGGCGACCGAAGCCGCCTGGGAGGCTCTAAAATCGCCCCATAACCATTCCAAAGGGCTTCCAGGCAGTCCAAGAGAGCCCCAAAAACGGCACAACAGGGGTCCAAGATGGCCCTCAGAGAGCCCCATGGCGGCCCAAGATGGCCCCAAGACACCCTCCGAAGCATTCCAAATCGTGACCCAGTCGTTCAGGGAGACCGCGGTTGGAGGCAGGGCGACCCGAGGAAGCCCCCAGAGGCCCCCAGAATGCGCCCAAGAGGCCTCCAGACGGCCTTAAGAAAGCTTGACATAACTTTTGCGAGGCCCCCAGAGGCTCTCCAAGGAGGAGCCTCCGCAAAAAAAGCCGAGGAGGATGGGGAGAATGCGCAGGGTATGGCGAACATGAGGAAAAATAAACATGGAGGAAGGATAACGAAACATCATTATAGCGGCGATGCCAGAAAAGGCAACAACATCGTTAAATTGTCGGCTTGACCTTCCTGCTATTCCGCCTGCGTACCAAACTTCAAGGACCAAGGTGCATGGCGCGAAGCGCCACTGCAGTCTTGTGTGTATATATACACATATATGTATATATAGACATCTACACATATGGATCCTGCGCTTCTGTTCAGTCCCCGCTGTTTCCGGTGGCTCCGCCTGCCCTCCCTCCTGGAATCCTTTGGGCCCCTGTGCGGGGAAGCTGGCAAGCGTGACCAGGGCCAGCCACTCCACACTTGCAGCCCTGGCCAGTCTTCTTTGGTGTCTCCAGCCCTGGCGCTCTCATCCCCAGCGTCTCGGGCTCGCGTCCGTCCCTGCCGTTTTTCCTGGCGCCCTTGCCGCTGCTGCTTTCACACACGTGCCAACTCCCTTCCTCTCCAGCTTCTCTGCAGTGCCAGCTGTGCAGATCCGGGCCTCCCGCTCGGGAGGGAGGCCTCCGGCTGGCCCGAGAGCTCCCGAGGAGCAGGACCGGGGCCGGGAGTCGGGCCATCCAGCTCGAGCGAGGCGTCGGGCCCCACCCCTCCCAGGCCAGACACAACTGGGGGAGCTGTGGTCCTCACCCCCCTGGGGGACCCATCGATTTCGACGCCCCTCTCGAGAGATCGTCGATGCGATGGGTTCCCCCAGGGGGGTAAGGACCACAGCTCCCCCAGTTATGGCTGGTCGGCCTCCTCCCACCCTCCTTCCCCCTCATTCGTCAGTTCTGCTTCTCTGTCCCCGGTTTCAGGTCCTGCGGGGAACATGCGCCCGCATAGCGGGCGCCCCGGGCGGTGCTGATTGTCAGTGCCGCACCCCTCCAGCAGCCGCTCGCGTGACGGGCATTTCCGATGGCGGCCGATCCGGTCCTACAGTGGGGGCGCGCCTCAAGAAACCATCTACTTTTCGTCAGGGTACCCTGGGTTTCTTCGCTCCGCGCGATGCGTGGTGGCTTCCCGCGGCCGTTGAAGGAGCTTCTGCGTTCGGGGTGCTCCGGGTTTCCCCTCAGATGCACCTCGCGCGCGGGTTTTCAGGGTTGGGTTTCTTGCGAGGGTTTCTTGCGACCGCGTCCGCACTGTACCCGATACCCCCTCCTCCGTCTGGGTACCGCCTTGCGCAAGCATGAGTCCACCTGCACACCTTTTTGCGCGGGTGGGAGGCAGAACCCTTCGGTAGGTCCCGTACCACCTTCGCCACCACCACGAACACTTTCCTCCCTCGGAAGAATGTTTGCAAGAGCACTGTGTAGCCAGGTCCCGCACACAGAAACAAGGCTGAGAACGCACACGCAAGTTGTCATGAGGCCGAGCGGGTCTCCCGCTCGTATGAGAACGGCAGTCCTGAAGGCCTGCTCGAGGCACCTCCAAGCAATATTCGGCAAAACCATGGCGCCGTGGGAGGCAGGCAGTGGGGGCCTGGGCAATCGGTCTGAAGATTTGCTGACACTTTGGCCCCTCCATGCCCACACAGCACAGACTACACACAACAAGCCGCCCACAAGCTTGAACGGATGCACGGCGTGCTTATTTCCTCCCGCGAGCTTCATTCTCCCTAATACTGGCAAGGTCGGCCTGCTCGAGCGTAATGGGGCGTGCGAGCCTGGGGAGGATTTCGCATCTTGGCTGGGACATGCTGTGCATGTTAATCGGCCAGCCTTCAATCACCCTTGGCACACCTTATTGAGGAATCCTTGAGACCCCCAGTCTGTTGTTTGCGGGCATCCCTCAGGTCCTCAGGAATCTTGACACGGCCGCAGACCAACTAGCCCAGTTGTCGGCCTCGTCGTTCTGTAGCTTGAGTGATTCCAATGCCAAGCCAGCCTGCACGCGAAGACGAGTGGTATGCGCACGGACCTTAACCAACGTGAGTCCCGAGACTCCATCCCAGTCACGGATTTTGGCTCATACTACTCGCCAGGTCTCCAACCAGGCGTTTTTGGTGTTGCTGCAACAATGCTTCTCACCTCTTGCCAACCCCCTGGAAACACGGAATCGGAGTTCGTGTGAAGAGGTGGTCAGTGCTGGAGCTCTCGAAACAGACTTGTGCGCTCAGCCGCATCTATGGCAAAGAGGGTCTGCGGCAACACTCCACACATAAGAGAGCGCACACGCAGCTTGTTGGGACAGAACTCCACGATCGTCCATGCTGCCATCCACGCGCGCTTGCAAACTTCTGACCCATCCGAGAAAACATGTCCTCTCATGTTGGTGGTACCAGAGGAAAACTATCGATCTTGCACGTGAGCCAGAGGGAGGGATCTTTGCACCAGGCACCAGCAGCTTCTCAGCAAATAAACGATGGAGACGCGAGTTGGCGGCACGAACAAGGGTGTCGAGGTAGGTAGGAATGTATTCTCCAGCCATCACCTCCTCGTGCATTCCACACGAAGGATGCCTATTCTGCAAATTACCTGGTGAGCGCTGGCACGCTTGGCGAGTGGAGATGTCGCCGAGTCCGCATTGCCACTGCCTGTGTTGGGGCCACAACAATCTCTACGAGAAGGGGTGAGATTGTAACTTCTTGCGAACTCTGGCGTGGCTGGTCTCATTGACCCACAATCGAGCATCATCACCGCGCGTGAGCCAAAGACTTCCAATGCGGGGCCCCAGCTCCTGGACCGAGTCTTCTCCAAGAGCAGTGAGTGTACCTCCAGACAAATCCCTGAATTACGATGCGTAGGGAAGCGCTGCGGCAACACACGCCGACAAAAGGGCCACGTGCGCCTTCCCCCCTCCTCTTCATGCTCCTGCTCCTGCTCCTGATCCTGCTCCTCCTCTCCTCTTCTCCTTCCTCATCTCCTCCCCACCCATAACGTCAGAGCCAATTGCAGCGTGGCTGGAAGGTGGGGCTGGCGTGGGCGACCAACTGGCGAACGGACAGGGCCAGCGCGCGCCCAGTGATCCTTGTCCTAGGTCACCCGTGGGGGCGCGAAGATAATCGCGCCTCACGCGCCGCGGTCCGGTCCCGATAGGGGCCGCTCTCCGGGGCTCTACGCCTCCCCAGGTGGGGCCGGTGGACCGCGCCGCATCGCCGATGCAGCGGCAATGCAATGCGATGTGGAGCCCGATTTTCTCCACACCAGCGGATGCATCGCCGACGTTGCGGAGGCCTCGGCGATACGGCGTGTTCCTCCACCTCCTCCTCCGCTGCCTCCTCCTCCTCCTCCTCCTCCTCCTCCTCCCGCCTCCTCCTCCCGAGCCGAGCCGAGCCAGGCCGCGAAGGCGAGCCGAGCGTCGTAGGGAAAGCGGCGCGAGGGAGCGACGATGACCGCGCGTCGCGCACCGCGGGGCGCAGTGCGCGAAGTTTTGTGACTTGTACGCGGGCCGTTGAACGCATGTATTCCTTGGACTCCCAGATCCCAGAGCGCCTTCTTACCTCAACAAGACACATATACAGTCAACTCGAATAGTGAGGATGGGCAACCTTTCCAAGGGTAACCTTGCATCCTTGCCTCCTCGGTGCATCCTTGGCCACTTTCGTTGGCCGCGTTTCGCTCGAAACGCTTCGAAATGGGCATCCTTATCGCGCATCCTTACTGTGCGGGTTGACTGTCTGTTTTTGCTGCGTTTTGTTTTTCTCTGGGAAGGCCTGCGCCCACCCTGCTCGATCCGCCTTCCTACTTGATGTTTGCACCTACTTCCTCCAACCGACGTGTGGTTGCCGAGGGACATGCATGGCCCCTGCGCAGGCAGGAGCGGAACTCTCAGATAATCCAGGCGCGGCGGTTCGGCGGGGGAACCGTTCGGCCACTGTCGCGCGTGGCAAAGCGTCCGACGGGAATGGCGATGCACGGTGTGCACTGCACTCGAGCGGGAGAGCCCC